CAGTAATTAGATTCACCGCTAGATCTTGTTACTTACTGTATTAACAAGTACATATATTGCTGTAGCACAAATTTATTTAAAATTTTGATAACTGTATATTAATGCAATTGGTTTCCTTTGTAATCTTAATGTAATTATTACTTTACATAGTTAAAACTATGATTCTGAAAAGGTATCCAAAGAAGCCCACCTTTTGACAAGGCTGCCAACACAGAACTTCCAGTCAAGCTTCTCAGTCCCTCAAACTTTTATCCTGATTTTAATTTTTAGTGAATTAATATATGTTCGTAATTTAAAAAACCAAGTGGAATCACAAGCAACAAAGAAAGAAATAGATAAACTGGACTTCCTCAAAATTAAAAACTTTCAAGTATCAAAGGACACTATCAAGAAAGTAAAAAGACAGTATATAGAATGGTAGGATATATTTGATAAAGGTCTAATATCCAGGATATATAAAGAACTCTTACAACTCAGTATTAAAAAGACAAACCCAGTTAAAAAATGGGCAAGGGAATTGAATAGGCATTTTTTTCCAAAGATGACATACAAATGCCCATGAAGTACATGAAAAGATGCTCAACATTATTAGAAAGGAAATGCAGATCAAAGCCACAATGAGGTATCACTTCACAATAACTAAAAATTTAAAACAACATTGCCATGGAGTCAATTCCGACTCACAGTGACCCTATAGGACAGAGTAGAACTGCCCCATAGGGTTTCCAAGGAGGAGCTGGTGGATTCCAACTGCCAGCCTTTTGGTTAGCAGCTGAATGCTTAACCACTGTGCCACTAGCTGGCTATAATAAAAAAGACAAATAGTAACAAGCGTTGATGAGGATGTATAGAAATTGGAAACCTCATACACAGCTGGTGGAGAGTGTCAGATGTGCAGTCGCTGTGGAAAACACTTTGGCAGTTTCTCAAAAACTTAAACATAAGAATTACCATGTAACCCAGCAATTCCATTCCTAGGTATAAAAAACCCATTGCCTTTGAGTCAATTCCAATTCATAGCAATCCTACAGGACAAAGCAGAACTGCCCCATAGGGTTTCCAAGGAGCAGATGGTGGCTTCGAACTGCCGAACTTTTGGTTGGTACCACCAGGGCTCCATTCCTAGGTACGTACACCCCCCAAAATTGAAAACAGGTGTTCAAACAAATACTTGCACACAAATGCTCAGAACAGCAACATTCACAATAGCCAAAAGGTGGAAACCACTCAAATGTCCATCAACAAATGAATGGATAAACAAAATGTGTATCCAAAATTCCATGTAATGAAATATTATTTGGCCATAAAAAGGAATGAAGTATTGATAATGCTACAACATAGATGAACCTTAAAACATTATGCTAAGTGAAAGAAGCCAGACACAAAACGTCACATATGTTTCCATTTGTATGAAATGTCCAGAATAGGCAAATCCACAGAGATAGAAAACAGATTAGTGGTTGCCAGGGGCTGGGGGAAGGAGAGATGGGGAATGATGGCTAAGGGGTACACAGTTTCTTTTTGTTTGAGTGACGAAACTGTTTTAAAACTACATAGAGATGATGGGTGCACAACATCGTGAATGACCTAAGTGCCACTAAATTGTACACTTTAATAGGTTAGTTTTACCTCAATTAAAAAAAAAGGAGCACGACCTGGAGGGAGAGCCTAAGTTGTGCGCTCAACAATCCTGAAGTCACCAAGGACCTAAGTCACTACTCCCATTTTGGTGAGAAGTCGGTCAATATATTTTTGGATGAATGAATAATCGAAAAGGATTAAGTAGTTTGTTTTAGTTTTCCTCAAGATTGACTATATAGCTGTGTTGTTTGTGTTGTGCCCTATAAGCAAAAACATAAACCAAAACCAAGAAAAACTGGTGTCAGTGAGGATGTGGAGAAACTGGAACCCTCATACACTGCTGGTGGGACTGCTGAATGATACAGCTGCTGTGGAATGCAGTCTGGCAGTTCCTCAAAAAGTTAAGCATTAAATTACCACATGACCCAGCAATCTGACTCCTAGGTATATACTCAAAAGAAAGGGAAATGTACATCCACACAAAAACTCTGTACAAAAATGTTCACTACAGCATTATTTATAAAATCTAAAAAGTGGAAACAACCCAAATGTCCATCAACAAATGAATGGGTAAACAAAATGTGGTCTATTCATATGAGACTATTATTCAGCCATAAGAAGGAATTAAGTATAGATACACGCTACAACCTGGATGAACCTTGGAAACATTGTGCTAACTGAAAGAAGCCAGATGCAAAAGGTCACATATGATATGTTTCCATTTATATAAAATGTCCAGAGCAGGCAAATTCACATAGACAGAATCAGTGATTGCTAGGAGCTGGGAGGAGAAGGGAATAAAAAATGACTGCTTATTTGTAGGGATTTCTTTTTGAGGTGCTGAAAACATTCTGAAATTAGTGGTGATGGCTGCACAAAACTGTGAATGTACTAAATGCCACTAAATTGTACATTTTAAGCGAGTTAATTTTATGGTATATGGATTATATCTCAATTAAAGCTGTTATAGAGTGAAAACGAGAATCTCCCAGAACGTACAACAAAAAGATAGACACCAGGGAAGGAAAGATGAGAAACTGAGGATCAATTCGGCAAGTCCGACATTTGACTAAGAGGAATTCCAGAAAGAGCGAACAGAACAAATGCAGGTGAGAAAATTACTTTTAAAAATTGGTGGTGTTAGGTACTGTTGAGCTGATCTGGACTCACAGTGACCCCATGTGACAGAGCAGAACTGCTCCATAGGGTTTTCTAGGCTGTAATCTTTATGGGAGCCAATCACCAGGTCTTTTTCCAAGGAGACATGCTGGGTGGTGGTCCAAAGGCAGTCCAAGTGTTTGAACTGCCAACCAGTTGGTTAGCAGCCATGTGCTTAACCTTTGTGCTACCAGGGCAAGAATATTTCTAAGCAGCAAAACACCTGAGTCTTCAGATGGAAATAGCGTACTAACTACTGGCACAATGAATAAAAAAAGATCCAACCCACAGCACATCATCGAGAAATTCATAAGGGAGATACTGGGAAGATTCTAAAAGCTTCCAGAGACAAAATATACAAAGGGCTGAGAATTGGAATGACATTAAACATTTTACCAGAAGCAGTGGAAGTTAAACACAATGCAGCCTTTAAGATTCTGAGGGAAAAGTATTTTCAACTCAGAATTTTATACCCAGTCAAACTGTACGAGGTCTGAATAAAGACATGCAAAGCTTAAAAAATTTGTCATTTAGGCATTGTGTCTTAGGAAGCTAACTGAAGATGTGCTTTAGCAAAATGAGGGACTAAAACTAAGAAAGCAGAAGATATGTGGTCCAAAAAGCAGGGCATCCATCGCAGGAAAGTGGTCAAAGGCAGTCCAAGGTGATGAAAGGGGAAGTCTCAGGACAGCAGCTAGGCAGCAGGCCCAGAGAGCAACCAGCCAGGTCAGTGCAGAGGACAGAGGGCACCAGAGCAAATCTGAAATCATGAGATTATCTGGTATGTTTGCACACTTGGAAAATAATATTGATGACAGTTTGCTGATTTGGTGGAATATGTGGAAAAAACTATAAATATATATTTAGAAAATGAAGTATTTAAAAAAAATGAGGCAACCATTCATTCTAGGAAAAACAAAATGTATAAAAAAGAAAACAAAATCATAATATATACTATTAGGCTCTGCAGTAAACAATATTTATGTGTGCAGATTAAATAGAAATATTGGTTGTTATTTAACCAAAAACTGTGATGTGATATACGGAGGGTGGGGGTGGTATAACAGAGCTAAATCCTCATCCATTATAACAAGAAATCAATACATAATGACAATTTTAGACAAAAAAAATAAGGCAATTATATTAAAAAAACAAAATATGAAGGCAAATACCAGAATATACAGCTACTAAGAGTGGGGAAAGTTTAAGGTAGGGCAGTGGACTGGACATTTTCTGCTAGAAGCCTTTTAGTACTCTCTGAACTTTGCCTCTGTTCTGAAATTTTTTTTAATACTATTATTGTAAAAAGTTATTAGGCACATACCTCACAACAGATCCCTACACACTAGTGGGTGTGACATCAAAGCTGGGAACTGGCCTAGAGGACAGTGAAAACAAAGACTCTAAAGCACCCTCTGAATTATCAAAGGGTGCTTCCCTCAGGTCCCACCCGATCAGGTGTCCGTGGGATGCTGGGTGTATCATATTTGGACACTGTAAAACTCTGTTCCTCCTGAACTTTCTGTGGAGGAGGAGTTCACTGGGCAGTGGAGCTTTGGCTGAACCAGGTCAGTGCAGGGTGCGGCTTCTAGGGCGATAACCTGGAGCTTCCCAGAGACCTGTCTCCAAACCACTCCCTGCCCCTGTATCAACCACCTAAGAATCTAGGCTCCCTAAATTATTTCTAGTTCTTGAACTAATTTCCCAGGAGAATTTTTGGACATGGGCGTGGTATAGGAAGATACCCAAGTGGGAAAGTAGGTAACATCTATCTTGCCCAACACCCTGTTGAGGTTCTGAGTGAGATTCCTGGTGCTCAGCATAGATGCTCTCAATAAGAAGCTCTTGAAGGCACAATTATGGTGCCAGCTTCCTCTATGCCAGGTACTGTACTAGGTCCTTTACGTGCATCACCATATTCAATCTTCACAATATCCTTATGAGGTTACACAGTAGTATCACCCACATTTTACAGATGAAGAAACAAGCTCAGAGTAACTTCACCAAGGTCCCAAGAGATGGAATACAAACCCAGGTGGCTGACTCCAGCTTGCACTAGAATAAGCAGCAACTTTGCCGTAAACCCTTTTTGGAAAAAGGTTTGGTTAGACAGACAGATGGAAGAAAGGAACTGACCCAAGATGAGGACCTAAGAGACCCTCCCTGTTCAGAAGCTCCAAGGCAGACTGGAAGGAAGCTGCAAAACTAGCTGTGCACCCCTCCTGCCCCTGCCCCATGGGGACGGTCCATGCAGCACCCACCTTCTTCAGAGAGGTTGTTCTCTTTGGTCTCCTTGTCCATCTGGCAGCACCAGCCTTCCAGCCGCTCTGTCTCGGCCTGAAGTAGCTTCAAGAACCAGTAGCCATCTCGGCGGCAGGCCCCTGGCTGTGCTGGCTCTGCTGGGGAGCTGGAGGTCGTCTCAAGCCAGGGGTCAGGTGGGGGCAGCGAGGACGCCTCTAGGGCAGGGTCGCTGTTGTCTCCATAGGAGAGATTGCGCTTGATCTGGGCAATCTTGGGGGCCTGCCGGGGGCCAGCATCGATGCTGATGGAGTTGGGGTGTGGGGTACAGTCTGGGAGGCTCCTCTCAGATGACTTACAGCTCGAGTCGTTGGCATCCTGGGTATCCGAGTCGGTGTCCCGTCGGGAGAACATGCTGTGGGAGGGGGCGCTGCTTCTGTGGGTTGGGGGTGGAGTAGGGTGGGGCAGGAAGGGGTTAGAGTCACCAAGAGGGCCAGAGACCAGAGGCTGCCCCGACCCGGACACACAGGAGACAGAGAAACGGATGCATCATCTGCTCACCATGCGCCTGAAGCGGGCCCCACAGCCCCCATCTCATTCTCAGCTCAGCCCTTGCCCCAACCCACCCACACCCACACGCACACACACACAAACAAGGTCATAAGGTTGCCTGTTTACTGCAGTGGGGCCAGGAAGACCACCAACACCAGGGTAGCTGAGGCCACATCTCAGCCCAGCCATGGCCCCCCATGGTTGATGAATCTCACAGAGCAAGTGCTCATTGCCTGCCCGCCCCCCTCCCATGCCTGGGCCACCGCCCGCATCCCAAACCCAGCTTGGTTATTAGAAATCCAGCAAGGAGAAGTGGGTTAGGGAGAGCAGGAGGAGAAGGCACAGGAGAGGGGAGAGCAGAAGAAGGGAGAGGAGAGGGGGGGAGAAGCAGCCACCACCTCTGTCCGACTTACCGCCAGTCGTCCTCTACCTGAACCCCGATGGACTGGAATTTGGTAGCGGGACTGGGCTCCTCTTTTGGCACTGGCTGAATGCAGTCAACCTTATTGAAGGACAACGACAGCAACGGCACAGAGACAAAGACAAAAATAAAAAACAAACACCACACTTGCTGCTGAAATTCACATTAGTGGGATGATACAAACAGACGTGTGGACAGACATGAGGCATGCGGACACTGCACGTGGGCCCAAGGCCGGACCAGGTTAAGCCGGGCACTGCTCATTCGTGCGGAGGCAGGAGGTGGGATGGGGTGGAGATGAATGGCTTTCCCTACTCTGAGGAGGGTGCCATCACATCGATCGCTTTGGGTCCGTTGTCCTCCAAGAGGTGGGAACCGTTCCTTCTAGTCCTCTCCTTTACACGCATCAGATAGAAGAAATAAAAGAAGGACGAAAGAGAAAGAAAACACACACACACAAAGCCACAGCCGTTATCTGGTGTAGTTGAAGCTGGGGGCTGTCTTGAGGCAAAGTCCCCCAACCCTGCGGCTGAAGCCTAGAATGGCAACTGGAGGCAGTGAACTAAGGGCAAACCTTGGACAGCAGCTCTAGGTTTGAAAACTACCACCAAGGCCAACAACGAGGTCCCTGGACACTATGGGATGGAATCCCTGGTCCCTGAGCCTCAATCATACTTGGCTGAGGTCACCTTCAGCCCTGGGTGGACCTGGGGGGCAGCAGGAAGGCCAGGACTGACCCCAAAGCTAGCATTCTATGCTTTCAGGAAGTGGGAAGAAACATGGCCAACAGTGATGCCCTGGGGCTGCCTTTTTTCCTGGGACAAAGGTGCCTGGCCATGAAGCAGCCAGGCCAGCAGTCTCATCACCTCTCAAGAATGAGGGAGAACCCACACTTGGCCTAGGCTTGAGGCACCAAGAGGTGGGACAAGTGTTGTCAGGGTATCCTCAGAAAGTGGGGACTCAGAAACAGGGGCCAGGGAGACTCTCTGGGGCAGTGGGGCTGAGCCCCAGGCTCCTCCTTGCCACAGGGGTGTAGTCGCCCTTTCCCTCAGCAAAAGCCAGCTCAGGGAGTGCAGCATCGTTACCTCCAAGGAGCTGTGACATGAGTACGGGACGGGTGGGGTGAATCCAGGGAAGGGGAAGCCCAGGATGAGCCCAAGAGCTAAAGGGCCCTTATCCCACTGTGATTTCCTAGGTGAAAGGAATCAAAGGTGGTTCTACTCTTTCAAGGGTTATCTGGGAAGATAAGAGCATCTGCTTTGGTCAGGGAGAGGGTGAGTCTGCCCAAAATAAGACCTTGGTGGTCAGGACCGAGGATCAGAGACTGGGCCACTCTGTGTTCCTAAGAATCCCACCTAGAAAAGCTGTGCAGGACAGGGCTGGACCCTTATGAAGAAGCCCAGCTAGATGAAGCCAGACAAGCCCAGAAAACAGGAGTCTCCTGGCCAAAGTTTTTCTTGTATATATGGGGAAACTGAATCCAGAACTACCTCTTAGGGGGAAGAAATCCAGGCAAGTGTGAGAAATTGGCCAGTGAGCCTTCTCTGCTACCCCTCCCACTGTTCCATTCAGTCTCCCCTCTGTGTCCTATGATCCTTCCCCTGCATTCTAGTGATTTGTCATCAAACTGGCCATGCCCAAGTGCTCAGAGGTGGCAGGAAATGGAGATCCCTGCCAGCTCCAAGCCACGGTGCACACCACCTTGTCCTCCTTGACTGATCCCCTGGGTTTGGGATCCACCTCACCAAGCGCTCGGTCCATGGTAGCTGCCCCTCTCACTGCCCTGAGTGTGCGCTACTTAAGTCTGGGGTGTCCAGCCAGGGCAGGCTCCAGAGCTGCTCCCATCTAAGCTAGGGAGAGGCCTCTCACTCTGGATGTAGAACAACACTTGAAAATCACATAGTAGGGCCCAAGTTTCCCAGCTCACCTAACAGAAGACAGATTATTCATGTTGTGTGCATGCAGGAGGTGCAATGAAGCAGTGGAGAGGGAAGCTGGCGCACCCTACCCTGCTGTCTGCCATGGCAACAGGTATGTAGTGAGTTTGGCTTCCATGAGGGTCTGCTGGCTTTGGCCACTTGGTCCTGGGAACGATCTGTCTGGACCCTCTCCCATGGAGGGACGCATTGGGACCAGCATCACACTTCTCAATTTGACGTGGGCCTGGTGCCTCAAGCCACCTACCTGTCCCCAAGGCCTGAGAGGGCTCTGGGCAAAGTTCCCCTCGAGCAACCCCCACGGCTCAAGAGCCCTGGGTCCTGGGCCCTTGGCCCATCGGCGTCTATGCTCCACGCTACTCCCGCTGCCAAGCGGGGCTGTGGTCTCCGTGCCAGAGCTGACCTTGAATTAGAGAACTGTTAGGCCAGTTGCGCCTCCCGCAGGTTGGCAGCAGGGCTAAGGGTGAATGGACAGACAGTGGACAGGCAAATAGGACAGGAGATGGCTGTCTGAGTGTAACTACATTCACTGAGACAATCCATCGGGAGCTGCAGGAGCAGGTGCCCATGGCTGCAGACTATGCAGCACGCACGGGTGACCGCGAGGAAGGCATGGCTATGGGTAGATTTGGTTCAGCCACTTGGGGCTGACCTCCTCAAAACAGACAAACAACCTTTGCCCAGGAGACCTAGTGGGCCCCCACCAGATGTAATTACACACAGGCAGGTCCATGGAGCAGACCGAGGACAGAGAGTGCAAAAGGAGCCCCTACTTGTACTCCTATCGATGACAGTTTCCTTTTGGTGATGGCCTCAGGGTGGGACTCGGAGCTGGTCAGTGTCCCTTGGTCGTTCTTCAGAGCTGCATGTTTTGAGGGCGGCTCGGGGGCCTCGGGGGCTGGGGCAACTCCGCCCCGTGTCACGCTGGGCGGTCGGGTACTGCTGTCCAGGCTGTCCGACGAGTTGCTCAGGCCTGACTGACTTGTCACCTCACTCTTGTGGTCCTGGCTGTCCAGGTAGGTGTCCTGGGCAGACTCAGTACTGCTCTGAACTGTGACTGAGATGAACGGCTTTGACGTGGTGCGTGGAGGGACCGGTGGCGGGGTCTTCTTATATGCCACTAAGCATGATGAACCTGCAGGTGGATGAGAGGAGGGGAGGGGAGAAGGTGAGGCCTCAACTCTCTCAACCCTCTTCCAAGTTTGAGGCCCTGCCTGACCTGGCCCTAGTTCTGACCTCAGCCATTCCCTCAGAGAGGATTTCTGGCACAGGAGAATGGAGGTCAGACACAGCACGGACCAAGACAGACACAGATCCTGCCCAATCTCATGCAAGGCCAAGTCTAGTGCAGGATGCCAACATTAACCAGACACCCTCCACCTCACAGTCACACATAAAGGTTATTACCCAGCTGGGGCAGGGGCTAGATGGTGAGTACATGGTGCCAGGAGGCTGTGACAGAACCTAACATGGGAAGAATTCCCTGAGGAGGTGGTGACAATAGAGTGGAGGTCAAAAGCACAGCTAAGGGATTAAGGCTAACCTTACTTTCTTCAAGCTCACTGAGAAACTTACCGAGTTCCCTCTGCCTGGATGCCCCCTCCCTGTATGCTCCAAGGCAACACATCCTCCAGGGTCCAATTAACTGCCCCTTCTCTGGCAATCTTGCCTTCCCCAAGACTCCATCATGCCTGGTCCAATTCCCTCTTCTCCACCAAGCTTCAGGGAACCAGTATCTGCCACAGGTGGGAGTTGGGGTCATCTCTGAATCCCATTTGCAGCCTGGCCTGGGGCTGACACACAGCAGGGATGCAGAACACTAAAAGCCCACTGCGTGCTTCTCAGATGCTGAGAACTTTTTGTTTGAAACAGAAGGTGTTTTTCAAACGGCAGTAACTACTTATTATGAGGGGCTGGGTCAGACTCAATGGCTTTTCTCAGAACCTTAACTCAAGTGCCCTTTTGCCAGTGATGGCTTAAATTAAGCCCCCACCCAGGGCCTAGACCAGCCTAGGCGCTAGAGTCAGACAAGTAACTTTAGGCCCTGCCTTCAAGGAGCTTCAAATCAGAGGGGGTGATGGAGATGGCTCAATGGAAAAACCACAAAATGAAGCCCCAGTGCCACAAGGGCTGTAGGCATGAGTCAGCAGAAACCCACCCATCTGCCACAATGAGATATCACTACACATACTTATCAGAATGGCTAAAATTAAAAATAGTGACAATACCAAGAGCTGGTGAGGGTGTGGAGAACCTGGAGTGCTCATACATTGCTGGTGGGAATGAAAATGGTACACCCACTCTGGAAACAGCTTGTCAGTTTCTTATAAAACTAAACATGCAAATTACTATATGACCTAGCAGTTTCATTCTTGGGCATTTATCAGATAGAAATAACTTATATTCACACAAAAATGCACACATGTTGGTTTGGAGGTTTAGGATCATGGTTTCATGGGACATCCCAGTTAAGTGGCCTAATAACATGTTTAGTGCTTCTGTTCTGTCTCCTAGTTCACTGCATAGTGCTTGGGGTCTCAAAAGCTTGCAAGCGGCCATCCAAGGTACAATAATTGGTCTCTATTCACCTGGAGCAACAGAAAAAGGAGAATCAGGAATAGGGAGATGAAATGCAATGTGTGGCTAACTACCTCCATGAATAACTGCTCCCTTTGCCTTGAGACCAGAAGAACTGGGTAGTGTCCAGCTACTATTACTGAACATTTGGATCAAAGATTCTATAGAAGAATCCTTGTTAAAGGGGGGAAAATTCAGAACATCATTTCAAATTCTCATGGAATCCAGACTTTCTGGAGCCATGGAGGCTAGAAAAACCCCTGAAACTACTGCCCTGAGATACATTCTAAACCATAAACCTTAAACCAATAATATCCCCTGAAGTCTTCTTAAAACCAAACAATAGTTTAGCTTAACTAGTAAAGAATATCTGCCTTGAGCATTGTGCTCTTTTAAGATCGGTATGGGATCAAGCTGACAACAGCAACTCGAAAGATTAGATAGGAAACTCAGGGGGCAGTGATTTTATGTTAATGGGGGAGGGACAACTCAGAAAAGGAGGGTGAGACTGGTTGCACAACTTGAAGAATGTAATCAATGTCACTGAATTGTACATGTAGAAATTGTTTGGTGTATGTTCTGCTGTGTATATTCTCAACAAAAAATAAATTATGAAAAAATTATTAAACAAATGTATACATGAATGTTCACAGCAACTTTATTTGTTAATAGCTAAAACCCAGAAACAACCTAGATGTCCTTCAATGGGTAAATGGTTAAACTGCTGTACATCCATACCATGGAATATTACTCAGCAGTAAAAGGAATGAACTACTGATAAACACAACAATGTGGATAAATCTCAAGGGAATTATACTGAGTGAAGAAAGCAATCCCAAAAAGTTATATACTGTAAGAGTCCATTTATATAACATTCTTAAAATGACCAGATTATACAGATAGAGAACAAATCAGTGGCTGAAAGGGGCACAGGGGGTGGGGGTGGGTAGGAGGGAAGTAGGTGTGCTTATCAAAGGGCAACAAAAGGATCCTTGTGGAGATGGGGCTGCTTTCCATCTTGATTGTGGTAGTGTTTACATGAGCTTACACATGTGATAAAATTGCACAGAACTAAATACCTGCACACAAAGATAACTAGAAAAACTGGTGGAATCTGAGTAAAATCAATAGATTGCATCTATGTCAATATCCTGGTTGTAATACAGTACTATAGTTTTGCAAGATATTACCACTGAGGAAACTGGGTAAAGTGTATACATGATCCCTGTATATTCTTACTATTGTTTGTGAATCTACAGTTACCTAAAAATAAAAAAAATCCATCCATCTATCCAACAGTTATCTTATTAAGCCAGGCCCTGGATTCCAGGAAAGCAAAGGCCCATCATCAGCAGAGCAACAGCTGTGAAATGGATGGTTCTAAAGTAAAAGAAAAAAGTAATAGTAGATGTCACAACACAAAGGCCCAGAGCTGGAAGCCATGCCTTGTACCTGCTTGTCTGGGGGTGAGGAAGGACTGTGGGAGCTCAGAGCCAGGTGCACTCACTTTCCACTCTGTTCAACATTTCCCAGTCCTGCTTAGGCCTTGAGGAAACTCAGGGAGCCCCTCTCCGCCCCCGAAAGACACACCCATAATCTCTGACTCCCCAACCTAAGGGCAGTGCTTGGGCAGATGCAGCTGCTTCTCTGGGCCAAGAGAAGATTGGCAGGGGGCAGTTAGGTCCCAACAGAACAACCCTGCAATGCCCCACATCTTGAGAACAGACAGGACCGCTCAGGGACGGGAGTTCCTCATGGCCACAAACTGGGTCATTTACTGAACTGTGATCAGTAGCTTTGTGCTTTTGGCATTTAAGCTGCAGTGACCCTGTGAGGTGGGGACACAACTGTTCCCATTTTACAGATGGGGCACGTGGGGCTCAGAAAGGTTACATAACTTGCCTAGGGTTCCCAGTGGATAAGTGGCAGCCACATCTGTTGTATAGAACCTCCCTCCCTGCTGGACTGGGGCTGCTGGTGTCTGGGCCCTTCACTGATCACTGTGCCCCACAGCATCCTGCTGGGCCCTGAGGCCAGTCTGCAGGGGCATGCACCAGCTGTGGGGTAGGAAGGGCCTAGATGGAAGGCAGAGGCTGGCTTCCAGGCCCTGCCCCCTCTCTGGACTTCAGTTCCCTCATCTGTTCAGTGGATGGCTTTAACTGGATTATAGCACACTACAGTCAGACAGCCCTCAACAAGCTCAAAGCATTTTTCCATTTATTCTGTCATTCAAGGATGGTGTAGCACCTCCCATCACCCTCACTGAAGGAACGATCCCTGCCCTGAATTCCTTCTCCCCACTTGCCTGAAATTCTACCATTTGAGAGTCATTCCTTTGGTGGGGAAGGTCCAGAAGCTTGGGGCTCTGTGGAACCAGATAAATCCCAGCTCCGTGGTTTACCAGTCGTGTGGCTGTGGTTTCCTCCTTGTAAAAAGGGAGTAGTTACACAGGCTACATGACAAAAGCTAAAGCTCAGCCCTGCCTGAGGCTAGCATGGTTCCCATTGGTCTGGTGACTAGAGGGAGCTGGGCCAGGAGGGGGGCAAAGGGAAATCTGCCATTCCCCTTCCCCGGTGGGGACGCTAGGCTGGTTCACTGACCAACCCAGGGGCAGTTTCCCCCAAGGACTGGATGTTTAGAGTGGCTCCCTGAAGCCAGTGGCTACCGTGCTCAGCAGAGACAGAATGCACTGAGGATTTTCAGGAAAGGATTTGTTTGGCCTAACTCCCCAAGGGCACAGAGCTTCAGTGGGGTTTTTGATCCTAGATCATAACAGTGAAGCCTATCTATTCCAAATATTCAAGTGAAGAAAATCCCCCATAAGAGGCAGCTGTTAATGTAGGGCATGGAGAACTGGTCTCTAAGCCTGGCAGAAGCTAGGTGACCCCAGGCAGGGTCCTTGTCCCCCCCTGGGTCTCCATGTCCTCATCTGTGGGATGGGACTGACACGGGGACAGAGGACTGAGCCTCCAGCCTCTCTCCCCAGGCAGCCGAGGCCCAGAGTCCTGCTGAAGCAAGCTCAGAGGCTTCAGCCCTGGCTGAGGCAGCCAGTCATTAGAGGGAAAGTGAAGTGGGAGAGGCCAGGCCAGATGTGATAACAGGAAATATGAACTTATCCGGGATTCTCTCTGTTTCCTGGAGCACACGCCACAGCAAGATAAACAGTGAGATTAGCAGGGAGCATTTCGGGCCTCGAGGATCCCTGAGTGGCAGGCATCCCTCAGCTCTATGTGCTGCCCTTCCCCAGGGGGAGGTGATGGGACCTGACAGTTCTCCAGCCCCTCCTAGCACTCCATACAGGACAGCGCTCAGGCTGTGGGAATGCAGAGAAATACAGGCCAACATATCGTCCACGCCCCTTCTGACACCAGGCTCCAGCCACTCTTTGTGTTCCTAACAACTTGGGGCCCGTACACACGTTGCTCCTTCAGCCTGGAAGGCTTCCCTCAGCTCCTCACATATTTCAAACATCACTTCCTCAGAGGCCTCCTCTGACTGCCCTCCACTCTTACCGCCCAGGAAGCTCCTTCAGAGCACCTATCACATTGGTTTCCGTGT